GCCAGCAAGATTGATTCACACCATTTTTGTTTTGACACAAATACGTTTTAATATATATATATATATATATATATATATGTGTGTGTATATATACAACAGTATAATTTACAATGGCAACTATTACGATTAGTTATTAGAAACAAAGTTTCATAAACAGAAATTTCACTATCTGACAACTAACCTAAAATCGTCTTCGTTCTTTAGAGTCTCCTTGATTTCGGCGAGTCAACTTGAAGTCGATGTACGTTCAATTATCGGGAAGCTAGCTAGCTAGCTTTGTCAGGCACTGAATTGTTGGACCGTCGAAGTAAGATACTATTTTCATAAAACCACTAATGTCTGATGAGAAACCAGCAATAGTCTTGGAAAGATACTAACGTTTGATGATAATTCACTGACGTTCGAAATTACAGCTGTTCCTGGCCAAATGCCGTATATTTTCCGGTTGGTAAGGGTTAGCAAAATCACAGTTTATAGCTTACACGGTTATAACAGTTTCATAGTATATTTGTATATTTGCTTTCTTCTCTGTTTCTTCTTTGGCCTTGGTCTTTTTATACCAGTGGGCAATGTTTTCTCGAACGTTCGAACAACACCGGTTACGGAAGTGGATATATTGTTGATTCTTGTGTTCACAAATATTCTACAATCTTGGAGAATTGACGGAAGTTTTGCCATACGTAACTAACACGTTAAGTTAGACACGCCCTCAAATATGAACTTATTCGAAACAAACGTTGACATTAAAATAAATATATAACAAATTCATTATATGCAACACATATCTGGTAATACAAGCCAAAAATACAAATTCAATCCAAACAACGTTCATATTAAAAATAAATACATAATAATAAATTCGTTACAATATCTAGTTTCAATAAAGATGTTTATGTAATGGACTTGTGTTGATTTTTATGATATCTAGTTTCTATAAAGATGTTTGTGTAATGGACTTCTAACGATTTTTACGATATCTAGTTCCTATAAAGATGTTTGTGTAATGGATTAGTATTGATATTCATAATATCTAGTTTTTATAAAGATGTTTGTGTAATGGACTTTTAATGATTTTTATGAAATCTAGTCTCCATAAAGATGTTTTTGTAATGGACTTGTGTTGATTTTTATGAAATCTAGTCTCCATAAAGATGTTTTTGTAATGGACTTGTAATGATTTTAATACACTTCTTTTTTGCTCCGTGTAAATCTTTTTGTGATATTCATTGATTTTTTAGTCTTGTGGATTATCGTTGTTTAGTAGAATGCAATCAAAACTATTTACTTTAACGATCTGAATATACAAAATAAATGGCCCAATTTAAAAACATCAAAATTCAATAAATAAATATAAATTCGATGTTTTCGTGAACTTATTCCTTTATTATATCTTATGACGTTTCCAGTGATATCCTCTAAATGATTATTTCTTTTCGTAGAGTAACAAGATTTAGCCATGAACATAGTACTAACATTTTTCATTCAGAACAAATGTTAAAGGATAAAATCTGTTCTCAATTTAAGTATTCATAAGCATGGTTGAAAGGATAAGACATACAAGCGAATGTTTTTAGATCCCAATCTAATGGTTGTGTCACCGTATATGATATACTATTGATGCAAATATAACTATTTACAAGTTACTTATTTGGAAATGTACGACGAATTATAATTTAAACATATAGTTTATGTTAATTATCCTTCGCAACAAAAAAGTGCCAGTTATTGAAACAGTTATACAATAGGCTCCTTATTTAACTTTTATTTCAACAAGTCTAAGAGTTAACTACCTTTATAGATAAATAGGAACCAAACGGATTAAATGTTATCAATACACTAAAAACTGAGAGAGCGGAATAGATTTATAGATTTTTGTAATAGCAAATTCAAGTTAAAATTTACTTTTTCTACAGCCATTTTAATTGGTTCAAATAACTCAATCACTTTCAAGGCATGAATGTTGCAATTAAAATCAAAGGATTGTTTGAAACAATGTTTTCTAACCGTTTCAGTTCTTACAGCAAAAGATTAAGCTAAGAGTTAGGGAGTCGTTAATAAATAATAAAAGCATTATTCAATTACGTTCCAGTAAAAGGCAACTTGTACATTTTTAACATAATATATCGCCAACCAGAAATACAGTTTCAACCATATATATTATACAACAATACATTTTTATTATGGATATACGCTACAACAAATACATGATTGCACTAGTAGAGATGTAATAAAACAATTTAAAATTATATCACTTATGCAAACTATAAATGATATAATTCTAAAGTAAAAATTTCCGCAGCCATCGTACTCAAAAGCATTGGAGAACGTTTTTACTATAGACTTTCTTTAAAATTGACCTTTGAAGTCACGAAACCGGTAGAAAATAATAAAGAGGAGGAAAAACAGAAGTGTTTAAGGATTGTGGTGTTTATATATATATATATATACATGCTTGAGGAGCTCAAGCTCTCTTTTAACGAGACGTGAAAACGTCACATAAATTATATTCTTATATATATATATATATGTATATTAAATCTATAATAAATCTATATACATAAACGAGGAGCACCACTTCCAATATCTCTCTTTTAATGAGACACGAAACCTTCACCTAAATCACACTCTTATATATATATATATATATAAAGTTGGCAGCGTTGTCTAGGCAAGCTGAGCTACACGCATGATTTCTTCTCGGCATTACGAAACAACATTTATCACTGTTATCCAGAAAAACTGTGCTTCACTCTAAAAACAAAAAATGTAATAATTAGGAGATAAATAACAAATAATTAGTTTTAATAAAACGTTCCTATGAATAATGTTTATAAACTGACAACCACGAAAATACCGTCGTTTCACGAACAAAGCGAGACCTACCCTAGACGAACTAATAATGATTTTAAAACACACATTTCTAACAGGACGTTTATTACGTACATCACGTAACATCACCATACCCCAAAGTAAATAAATTGGAAATATTCATGTGAGTTCCTGAAACCGAAAATTTAAAGGTACTCGTTTTAATTTCAAACCCGTTTGTTCGTTTTCTTGATGTTTGCAAAAGGAATACACTCATTAATGATATTAGAAAAGCCTTCATTAATTTTAATAAAATTATTCGAGAGCTATATGCACAGAAGGGATCATGTTAGAATCAATACAAGTAGGGCTGTGGTTTTGTAATCTCGAATTCGAGGATTCATTGTTCGTGACCCATTTCTTAATATTCAACCGAGAAAAAACACACAATCTTAACTTCGAACCTGCAGAAGCTAAACACAAAAGGACTGTTTATGAAAAATTCAGTTAAAACATTTAGGATTAAATTGAACATGCAGGAGGCAGTAGCGTTTTAAAACTTTTGGTAATAATTTCGTATCTAATAATTAATATAATTTTGAAAAATTATAAAAAGTATGAGAGATTTGCTTCATGAAATACTTGCATCGAAAAGTAATTTGTTTTTCTTTTATTACAGACTTTCTTTCGGTCACTAGTACATTAAGAACAAGTGTTTTGTCCTTCCACGCAATTAAAATAACTGCACATATAAGGGATATAGAGCAATACGTAATATTATATACACACAAAGAACTAAGCTACTCAACAAAAAGAACCAAATATACATACAACTGCAGAAAAACACCAAACTAAGCAGAACAAAATCTTAACTACAAATAAAAGACAACCTCCCTACAAAAGACTCAATTGTAAGTCTGTGGGCTTATAACGCTAAAAATTGTATTTCAATATCGGCGGTGGCCCATTGTGATACTTTGTGCTTAACAACAAACTAATAAACTATACATAAATAGAAACAAGCTACAGATATATAGGAAGAAAGCTCTTTACATGTACATGATAAATAAAATACACGAAGAAAGCTATATACAAGTACATGCTTTTTAAATTACACGAAGGAAGCTATATACAAGTACACGCTATTTAAATTACACGAAGGAAGCTATATACAAGTACATGCTATTTAAATTACACAAAGGAAGCTATATACAAGTACACGCTATTCAAATTACAGGAAGGAAACTATATACAAGTACACGCTATTTAAATTACGGAAGGAAGCTATATACAAGTACACGCTATTTAAATTACACAAAGGAAGCTATATACAAGTACACGCTATTCAAATTACAGGAACAAAACTATATACAAGTACACGCTATTTAAATTACAGGAAGGAAGCAATATACAAGTACATGCTTTTTAAATTACACGAAGGAAGCTATATACAAGTACACGCTATTTAAATTACACGAAGGAAGCTATATACAAGTACATGCTAGTTAAATTACAGAAAGGAAGCTATATACAAGTACACGCTATTTAAATTACGGGAAGGAAGCTATATACAAGTACACGCTATTTTGATTACGGGAAGGAAGCTATATACAAGTACACGCTATTTAAATTACACAAAGGAAGCTATATACAAGTACACGCTATTTAAATTACGGGAAGGAAGCTATATACAAGTACACGCTATTTAAGTTACAGGAAAGAAGCTATATACAAGTACATGCTAGTTAAATTACGGGAAGGAAGCTATATACAAGTACACGCTATTTAAATTACAGGAAGGAAGCTATATACAAGTACATGCTAGTTAAATTACAGAAAGGAAGCTATATACAAGTACACGCTATTTAAATTACAGGAAGGAAGCTATATACAAGTACATGCTAGTAAATTACAGGAAGGAAGCTATATACAAGTACACGCTAGTTAAATTACAGAAAGGAAGCTATATACAAGTACACGCTAGTTAAATTACAGAAAGGAAGCTATATACAAGTACACGCTATTTAGATTACAGAAAAGAACCTATATCCAAGTACACGCTATTTGAATTTAAATTACAGGAAGGAAGCTATATACAAGCACGCGCTATTTAAATTACAGGAAGGAAGCTATATACAAGTACACGCTATTTAAATCACAGGAAGGAAGCTATATACAAGTACATGCTAGTTAAATTAAGCAAGTAAATCACTTTTTTCATTTCATATCAAGTAATAACATAACTTTGAAATTGTTTTTTATATTTATATTTATTAAAATCACATGAAAATAAGAAAATTATATACTAATTGTAAACCTTATTAATTCACCCAGAATTTAAATATAAGACTATGAGAGAGTTGTCGCAATGAAACTTTAAAATTTGGAAGAAGACATAGTAAACACGCAAGCAAGAAGATGCAAAAATATTGAAATACAAAGAAACTTCAAAGAAACGGATTAAAATAAAAAATGTAATAAGTTTTCACCATCTCACTCGGTGCCAGAAGTTTTAGTATTTGTTTACACATAGAATAATTCATATTTTATGTACATCTGAAGTAACGCATTTTCATTGAAGCTCTCACTTTACTCTGCAAAGTTAACTATAACATTCTGATATTAAGAGGTTTCTCTTTAATTAATCTGCTCAAATATATTTCCCACAATCTTCCCAAGTGTGTGCAACAAGATATGTTGGCCATCGTCACACAGAAACGTGTTTCAGATTTGATTACTACCAAAACATTATGGTTATTCTGCATAAACGTAATTTATGTTGTCGTTTAGATAATTTTAACCAAAACAAAGTCTGCATACTGCATCTTAGGGTTCCGCTAAATCAATTCAACTTAACCTTTTGAATAGCGGAAATGACTATCATCGTTTTAGTTTTTGTTACTAGAAGGCTCATTACATAAGATTTCAGTTGAACATTTTGTGCCTTTTTAATTCACTTATTTTTGGACACAGTAGTTCTTTTCCTTTTAAAAATGCATAATTACTTTTCAACAAAAGATACTGAATATCAGAATGCTTAACTATTTCTTTTTATTTGTCACCACTCGTTTCCTTGAGAGACTTGTATAAACGCCTTTTTTATTTCTTTTAAAAGCATTTTCATTGACGATTTACTGCTAAGATTTTTAAAATTTAATTAACTTCTACAATATTTTCATAATTTCAAGTTATCGGGTTAGATGTTCTGGAATATAATCTGTATTCTCCAACTTTTAATTTCAATTTCAACAAGCCACTCTAATTAATCGGATTTACGAATACATAAGTAGTTGACTCCGTCTAGACTAGTTAAATCAATTATGCTTGCGTTTTCGCTCTTTCTTTTTCTATTGTTGTGCTTATTATTTTATACATCTAAATACTTTCTTTATATCATTAACTTATAAAGCGAAAGGTTTTCGTAGCTTATATAAACTTATTTCTATAATTACTAAGTATTACTGTTTGTAACTTGCCGGTTCAAATATTGTAAGATCGGGTTGGTCTCTGCAGATATGATAATATGAAAAACTTGTATTATCTATATGTAATCAATAAAGTCCATTAAAAATGTTTAAATACTTACAGTTTCCAACTCTCCAAACGATTCTTTTTCAATGTAACTGTCAGTCTTAAAGATCTCCGTATCTCACTCAGATGTAATATTGAAATATACGTTCTTGTCATTCTAAATATTAAAAACAAATGAAGAAAACATATGGTGATATTGTAAGTCTATATTAACTTCAGGAGCTTTAATTATTAATATTTTAAAAACTTTCTTATATTGTAAGTCATTATTAGCTACAGAAGCTTTAATTACTAATATTTAAAATTTCTTTTTCAATAAATGTAATTGATATTGCTTATTTTATAAGCTATGTGTGTGTTGTTTTATAGCAAAGCCACAGACTATCTGCTATGTCCACCGAGGGGAATCGAATCCCTGATATTATTGTTGTAAATCCGTAGATTTATCGCTATCCCTCCGGAGGAGTTCTAGGCTGAAAAGAAGATAGAAGGAAGAGAAGGGTAAGGGAGTTAAATAAATATTTATATCAATTAGTCTGTTAAACAAACTGGCTATTTTGATATTTATTCTCCCAAATTCAATTTTATTATTTCACATTAGTTTTGTTATTTTTTTCTCTCTAAAGCTTTAGAAAAAAACTATCAACTCGGTAACAAGAAAAAAAAACAGAATTCTTCTTTTATGATTAATATTATATTATTTATTTATTTTTGGCAACAGCGACAAATAAAAAACAGTTTATCTTAACTAATCATATAACATTTTCTCACTCAACCAACATGATGTAGAAATATCAATGATTTATTAAGTATTAAGTAAAAACATAATAATAGTTAGCAGTTCGCACATATTATGGTATCAATGAATATTATGTTGACACAATGTTCATAAGTATTAAGAAAAACGTAATAACAGCTAGCAGTTTGCACATGCTATGATATCATTGAATATTATGTTGACACAATGTTCCTAACTATTAAGAAAAAAACATAATAGCAGCTAGCAGTTCGTACATGTTATGGTATCATTGAATATTATGTTGACACAATGTTCATAAGTATTAAGAAAAAACATAATAGCAGCTGACAGTTCGGACATCTTATGGTATCATTGAATATTATGTTGACACAATGTTCGTAAGTATTAAGAAAAAAACATAATAGCAGCTAGCAGTTCGGACATGTTATGGTATCATTGAATATTATGTTGGCACAATGTTCATAAGTATTAAGAAAAAACATAATAGCAGCTAGCAGTTCGGACATGTTATGGTATCATTGAATATTATGTTGGCACAATGTTCATAAAAGGATGACGCATGGAATCTCTGATGCTGTAGCCAGAAGTGTACAGCGTCTTGCTTAGTGACTAAGCAAAGCTAAGACGATTCAATCTATGTGAATGAAGTTGTTTTCTATTGACTACATAACACTCTGTTGAATCAATTATTTATAGACAAACTTGCTCAGAATAAATATAGAAAGTTGTATAAGTTATATAATAATTTACATAACTATTTCATAAATATTGAAATGAGTAAAGATTAATTAAGTTTCCTTTAATGTTACAGTCCATAAGATTTTCTGTTTGGTTTTGAGTTCGTAAACTACTTGGTAATTAGATTCAGTTGCTGAGATACTGCTTGAACTGTCAGTCAAGATTAATGTTTTTTGAATAACGAAATTAGGTGTTATGACTAACGACAGACCCCTGAAATAATAACTTTACAACACACACGCCCTTAGCAAATTAAAAATACACGAATTTATACTATAAAATAATGTGATTCTCTAAATATTATTTAGGGAAGTAATTTAATAATTTGTTTGTTTGTTTGTAATTACACACAAAGCTACACATTGAGCTATCTGTGCTCTGCCCACGACGGATATCGAAACCCGGATTCTAGTGTTGTAAGTCCGCAGACATACCGCTGTACCACTGGGGGGGAGGGGCAATTTAATAGTAGAAGACAGTTGTTAGCTTCCACCCAGTTGGACTGTATAATTTGATATTTATTTTTCTTGCCTTTTGTAAAATCTATTTATCTTTTGCTGTTATGGTAAAATTGTATTAAGCAGTGAGGATTTAACCTAATAGTGATTTTGTTCAGGAACTTTTGTAAACATTACAATTATTAAGTTTCAAGTCTATCAAATGATAGATTTAAACAACTTTAACGATTTTTTATTTAAACTTCATGTAAATATAATGCTATAGTTCATTATCTAAATAATTGTCTTTTATAATTTCTTTCATTGTTCTTTTAAAATTACAGACTCCGTTACAATGAAAAACAAACGTGTGTTAAAACTACACTACAACAATACTCTTGTTTTTCTTCTTTATTGAAGAATAACCGAATTCATTATCTAGAAAAACAAACGTGGGTTCAAACTACGTCGTAAAAGATATTCTTTTTTTTTCTTTATTGAAGAATAACCGAATTCATTATATAGAAAACAAACCTGGGTTAAAATTGCGTCGTAAACAATATTCTTTTTCTTTTCTTTATTGAAGAATAACTGAATTCGTTATATAGAAAAACAAACGTGAGTTAAAATTGCGTCGTAAACAATATTCTTTCATTTCTTTATTGAAGAATAACTGAATTCGTTATATAGAAAAACAAACGTGAGTTAAAATTGCGTCGTAAACAATATTCTTTTTCATTTCTTTATTGAAGAATAACTGAATTCGTTATATAGAAAAACAAAGAGACAGTTAGAATTATATCAATTATAATCAATATTCTTGTTTGCTCTTTATTGAGGAGCAACTGATAAAATAAGTGGACTGCGAGTGAAAATCATAACTGATGTATATTGTTAATGCTGGTGTATCACTTAAGAAAAACAGGAACTCTTTAAAAATTAGCGTTTATCCAGGCTTTTTGCTTATTGAAAAGCCAATGGTTTTGGTATTACACTCAAAATATTTTAATAAATTACAAATAGGCAAATTTTCCATTCAATATTTTCATAGATTCATTATATCAATCCGACTTATAATTTTTGTTAATTTAAAATGCCTTTAGGGATGGTATAGTATACCTAAACGCTGAGTACAATTATATTGTTACTGCATAAACTCAAATTAGAACATGCTGTTAATCGTTATACAAAAATTAGATAAACATGTTAAATTTATTAACATAATATTTTATATGGGGGTTTGAGTCTGTTTTACTTCACCATATATGTAATATTTTAATATATTTTATACCCTACAGTATAATACTCAAACGGGACTAGTTATTCAGCTGAATAACTCTATAAAAATTTTCGTTTTTAAACAACTTAATGCTAACATAATTTGAATTAGATTTAGTAAAAATGCAGTAAAACAATTACCTAGAAAATGTACATCATATCAGTTTTGGGTTTGACTGTACACAACTTTTAAATCCCAGTTTACAAAATAAAAATGCAGTAAAACAATTACCTAGAACAATTAGATCATATCTGTTTTGGGTGTACACAGCTTTTAAATCCCAGTTTACAAAATAAAAATGCAGTAAAACAATTACCTAGAACAATTAGATCATATCTGTTTTGGGTTTGACTGTACACAACTTTTAAATCCCAGTTTACAAAATAAAAATGCAGTAAAACAATTACCTAGAACAATTAGATCATATCTGTTTTGGGTTTGACTGTACACAACTTTTAAATCCCAGTTTACAAAATAAAAATGCAGTAAAACAATTACCTAGAACAATTAGATCATATCTGTTTTGGGTGTACACAGCTTTTAAATCCCAGTTTACAAAATTATACGTTATATTTCCTTATGAGTTTATCAAGTCAAAAAGTGGAGTTCGCTCCACGTGGCGGGCACAGTGTAGATAGTTCGATGAGTAACTTGACGCTTAAAACAAACAAAACCTTGTGTTTCAGTCACAAAACTAATGGAAATTATAGTATTTCGCAGCTCAGTCACTTTTATTATGCCTAAAACTATTTAAAATTTTCACGAAAAGTTTTGAAGTTTACTTTAAAAATGAAAGTACACATCGAAATTTTGCTTGCCGATGTATCCGTTAAAGATTATTTATTTTATCAGTGGTTTTATATAATATTATATTATATTATTTTAGTCATAATCAGAAGACTTATCATTCTTTATAGTTTTCGCGCAAACTTACACCAAGAAAAGGCTATGTGCACATAGCCTTCCATAATTTTCAATCAATTTGGAAATCTCTGGATTTTAATAATAGTAATATGGATTTCCATTATTTAAAATATATATATATATATATATATATAAGTACAAATATAAGCTAGTCTGACGTAGAAACTTGAAGTAAAAACTATGTGATCGTATTACTATAATTACTGAAAAGCGCTTACAGATGATTATGCGTATAGGTTTCCGATTAATAGGACGATTTTTTTTTTGTGCAGTAACGGAAAATGAACCACAGCATCTCAAATCCACAGTCAGATACACTAATCATTGGACTGCACTCAGTTCTGTGTTGTTTGTTGTAAAACACAAAGCTAAACTAGGGGCTATCTGTGCTCTGCCCACCGCAGGTTTCGAAAAACGATTTTTAGTGTTACAAGCTCTCATACTTGTCATTGAGCTTTATGGGTGGGGGGTCTACATTGTTGCTACTATTATTCATTCTGTTCAACTTGTACATAATTCAGAAGTGTTAGAAAAGTAAATGTTACTTTGTTGTTAGATAACCTTACAAGCCAGAGGAATAAAGTGAAATACCGTGTTATCAGAACCATTAATCAAGGCTACTCTACAAAATTTGCTTCAGAAAAAACTTTAATTATATAAATAACTACTGAGGGTGCATTATTATTATTTTGTTACTAATTTCTTTCTATTCGAAGGGACAAAACAACTTTTATTTTCTCAAACAGAAATGATTAAAAGTATTTTATTCGAATAGAGTGTGTGTGTGTGTGTGTGTGGGTCGGGGGGGGGGGGGTCTTTTAAATGATAATTCCATAGAGTGGTTAGGTTTGAATTTCGCGTAATACTACTCGAGGATTATCTGCACTAGCCGTCCCTAATTTAGCAGTGATAGATTATAAGAAAGGTAGTTAATCAACATCACCCGCCACCAACTCTTGGGTTACTCTTTTACCAACGAATATTGCGATTGACCGTCACTATATAACGCCCCTAGGAACGAAAGGGTGAGCACGTTCGATGACGAGGATTTGAATCCGCGACCAGCGATTCGAGCACCCTAATACTCAAACCATGCCAGATCTTCATAGAGTGACTTTGAGACTTCTAAAAGTATGCTAAGCCTACATCTTCTTTCACTTACCTATAAAGACAGTAAAAGAGTAGCAATGAACAAAAATATAGACACATATTTTTGTTCTGAATGGAATCTAACACATATGAATATATATCGCAAGATTATAAACCGAGAATAAAACATTAAATTTCAATTACTATGTACATTTCTTTCCACAAGTACCCAGTGAACCTAATCCTTTTTAAAGTAAATAACAATATAATAAGT